TAAGAGATTCGGTTTTCGAAATTACCACATGCAAAAGCAGAGCAAACTGCTTCTTCCTTAGCTCAAGCAATCTCCAACTCGCAGTGCTTTCGGCTTCAAGCTCGGCGATCTCCTTGTTCAATTCATATATGACCGTCTCTGTCTCTGACCTCGGCGGTTGCGCAGAAATCAGTTTCCTTATCGTCTCACACTCTTCTTTATGCTGTCTTTCTATCTTACTCTCCTCAAGCTGCTTCTTTAGATCTTCAATCTCGGCTTTCGCCTGCGTTATCTGCCTTTCAGTCTCATCTTTCACCTCGTTAAAGCTCTCTTTCTCCCTAAGGTTTGCTTCTACAACCGCTTGGCTCTTCAAAAGCGGGATCTCGAAAGTAGAAAGTTCCTGCAAGAAGGTTTTCGCAAGCCTACCGCAATCGTTATAGTTCTCTTCTTCTTTATCCACTTCAATTACAAAAGAAGTGAACTTCTTCTGAAGTTTCTTCAACGGAGGTTCGCCTCGAGTGGTCGTGGTTCGGGTTAAAAGCCGGTTTCTTATGATTTTGTCATCGTCTACCGGATCGAATGCATAATTAACCTTAGCTACTACAGTCTCTAATCTACCAGAAATCCTCCTTGCTTTAACTGACATCTCAAATTTCACTTTATAAACTCTTAACTCACTCCTGCAAAAATGAACATTCAATAACCAAACATTCAAAAACAAATTCACCAAATTGCAATTTTTCTTAAAGCTACGGAATCCAAATAGAATAATTCGATCAGAAACAAATCCAATGGATATAAAGATTCAAGCACAAATCTACAAAAACAGAACCGAAACATAAACTATTACGATTTACGCAATTTCTCCTCGTGTTTAAAACTTCCAGTTTTCAATTGGAGTGAATCATTTATCAATTCTTATCCATTATCTCACCGATACGAAAGCAATTTCTTCATCGTACCATGAATGGTGTACTGAACAGAAAATTCCGGCGAGAGATTTGACCGGAAAAATAAATTAAAAAACAGCAAAAGATCATCTCTTAACTTACTTCAAAGTGAACCCAAGATCCAGATTTGTCTTCTGCAATCGAAACTCGATCAAAAACAGAGCCTTTTCACTTATGGAAAACAGAGACTTCAAATTCTGATGAACCCTAAATCGAAAGTAATCATACCCCTCGCTTCACCCTTTTTTTCTTTATGAGATAAATGCATAAAGTACCTTCAACTTATATTATATTACAAAATAAATCATATTCTCTTAAAAATATACAATAAACCTTACAAACGAAATCAGC